GAAAGAAAGAAAAGAGAAACGTCAAAAGAGCGTTTCTTAAACAAGAAGAAAAGGAAAGTTTATCAACAGCCTTGCATTTGCCCCGAAGACCCAAAAGGCGATAAACTCAACATAAATACACTTGATAACTCCGCCGAGCCAGCCTGACGCCCTTGCAAGGTCTCTCATCACACACTCTTCTCCCTTTAGTTCCTCTGACCTTGAATCGGCGGTTCAGGCGATTAGCGAAAACTAGGAATCTTATCACGTGATTTGGATCCCCTGCAGATTGTTCTCGTTTGCATAGACTTCCCATTATCGAAATCATCATCTGAATCATTTTCTGTTATTATTTTCGTTGGGGTGATTATCAGGAGCATCCCGGTGGCAGCGGGAGAGTGGAGGGAATCGCATGACATCCAGCCAAAGAAGCAACAAAAAGCGTTCATACTTAAAAAAAAAAAAAAAAAAAATGGTGCAAGACACAATAAAAGTAAGAAAAAAATGGGGGAAAAAAGAGAAGAAGAAAAAAGAGCACAGCTGGAGGACTAACAGCAAGGCCTCCCAACAGCAGCAAGAAACAGCAGCAGCAGCAGCAGCAGGAAGCAGGCGGGAAGGTGCGGGATGGCGGGGCCCATGGGAGGGGGGGGGGGCAGGACCCACTCGGGCTGGGCAAGGATCATATAGAGAAGCGGCAACCCCGGCTAGCTTTACCACTGACGCCTCTATTCACTTCTTACATACGGCTCATTAGCGCGTGCAGCGTCCCTTCTGCAGTAGTGGTTATACCCCCCACCCTTCCTTCGCTCTAGATACTCCCGCCTTTATTACTTCTAACAAAAGGGGTCAATTTACCTTGCGTCTCTCTCTCTCTCTCTCTCGCTCGTGATCTTACTCACTTTCTCTCTTTATTCTTTCTCTCTCCCCCTTCCTCCCCCTCTCCTCTCTCTCTCCTCTCTCTCTCCCTCTCTCTCCTTCTCTCGTCCTCTCCTCTCTCTCTCTCTCTCTCCTCCATCTCTCTCTCTCTCTCGTTCTTCCTTCCTCCCACTCACTTACCCATGCCTCCATACATTCGCTCACGCACCCTCCTCTCTCTCCTCTCTCTCTCATCTCTCTCGTCTCTCTCTCTCTCTCTCTTCCTCATCTCATCTCTCTCTCTCTCTCTCTCTCTCTCCTCTCCTCCTCTCTCTCTCTCTCTCTCTCTCTCTCTCCTCTCTCCCTCTCTTCTCTCATCTCCTCCCTTCTCTCTCTCTCTCTCTCTCTCTCTCTCTCTCTCTCTCTCTCTCTCTCTCTCTGCTCCTCTCTCTCTCTCTCCGTCTCATCTCTCTCTCTCATCTCTCTCTCTCCCTCTTCCCTCTATCTATCTATTATCTTTCACCCTCCCTCCCTCCACTCTCTCTCTCTAATCTAATCTATCTATCTCCCTCCATCCCTCCTTCTTCTCTCCATCTCTCCTCCCATCTCCCCCTTTCTCCCTCTCCCCCCTCATGTGCCATTTCCAAGCCAAAGCTCCATTTTCGGTCCTCGCTTTTAAATACTATAAATTTTGTTAATTTATTTGCGCAACAATGGCAGAACGCTGGACAGTGAGGGCAGTGATCCGAGAAACAATGAAGCTGAAGAGAGGAGAGGAGAGGGGAGGGAGGGAGGGAGGAGAGGAGAGGAGGAGAGAGAGAGAGAGAGAGAGAGAGAGGAGAGAGAGAGAGAGAGAGAGAGAGGAGAGAGAGAAGAGAGAGAGAGAGAGAGAGAGAGGAAGAGAGAGAGAGAACAGACAGACAGACAGACAGACAGACAAGAGACAGAGAGAGAGACAGACGACACACAGAGATCATAATCCGTCACCCCCCCCTCGCCACAAATCCAAAATACCCATTCCCAGGTGAAACAACAAAACGACAAAAGGGCTTTGGGAGCGCCCGTCCTCCTCCGTTGCGCGGGCGACGGCGGGCTCCGCTGATGGTCGGAAGGCCCTCATCCCATTGGTATAAAACGACATTTTATGCCTTATGCGTTTCTGACGAGATGTTATAACAGAGCGATACTGATTCCGTTTCGTCTTTTCTTTCTATTTCGCTCTTCTCTCTCTTCTTCTTTATTTGATTTTCTTATTATTATCAGTTTATTAGTTTCCTTTCCTTTTCCTCCGAATCTGTCTCTTTCTTTCCTATTTCCTCCATTTTTTCTTCCTCTTGGCCATTACACTTTTTTCTGTATACCTTGAATCTTCATCTGTTTCAGTGTTTATTATATTCTCTATCATCTTTTCCTTAATTTTTTATTCTATTATTTTCTTTCTCCCTGCTTTTCTCTTCTTCGTCATTTTTTCCTTCTTCCCTTTTTTCGTTCTTCTCTATCACTCCTCTGTTGCTCCTCCCACTTTTACGTATCATTCTGTTAAAATTCATTACCTTTGCAAATACTGATCCTGAAAAGGAAAAGCAAAACACTCGACAGATTACAAAGATAACAGATAACAGATGACACAAGACACTCTCTGCATGTCCGTTCGCGCTAATTCCAGTCACCGTTAACCGCCTTTTTCTGTTTCCAAAAGTCTGATACATTTCAGGGGTTGTCAAGGGGGGCGGGGGGGGGCGCAATTACGTATGCAAAATCCACACAAATATATATATATATATATATATAATATATAATATATATATATATATATATATATATAATGTGTGTGTGTGTGTGTGTGTGTGTGTGTGTGTGTTGTTGTGTTGTGTGTGTGTGTGTGTGTGTGTGTGTGTGTGTGTGTATGTGTGTGTGTGTGTCAGACACCAAGCGCAGGCGCGGAGCAAGAGCGGAAGAGGCGCGCGCGCGCGCGCTCAGGTCCCGCCCTCGCGCTCACCTGTTAACACTTCGACATCNTCAATTTACAATTCTTCAAACAGACATTCTAGATTACTGGGGCCTAAGATAAGGCCCTGTGGTACGCCAGCACTCAAAGGGTACTTGTATCTGTTTCCACTGACTGCGAGTGTTGAGCCCTTCCGTACAAAGTCTAAGAAAGCAATTACCGTTTACAGGTAACATGACACATGTGGTCGAAAGTCCAGGTAGGGGTTTGGGCAGGTCTAGAGCCGGCCTATTTTGCGTGACAAGAAATTATTTGATGCTCAGTAAATGGTGGTTATCGAAGAATGAAAATAATTATCCTTTTGAGGTTTTCTTAACTTCAACGAGAGGAGATAACGGTTTTATAATGTGGATTTATGTTGCTCTCTCTCACTCTCGCCCTTTTCTATCTGTCTCGCTCGCTCACGAATCAGCCGCTCTCTATATTTCCTCTTTACAGTTAAAATCGGCAATTGAAAATATGAGATGGAAATAGATTAATGAATGAAGTCAGAAGAAGAAGGAGTCAAATATTGGATGAGATTTTTTTAACCTAAAAACCCTGTTATCTTTGCAAATTCCAGGTAACTGAAGATGGATCAAGACGAGACCCTGTTTGACTTTCGTCGTTATTTCTCTCTTTTTTTCTTTATTTTTCTCTCTCTTCGATCTTTTTTCTTTCTTTTTCCTTCTCTCTTCGATCCCTCCCCCCTCCCCCTCGAAGTCCTTCACCCCCCCCCTCCCTCCATGCCTTAACTCAACTTCAGACTCTACCCAGCGCGGTCTTCGAAAAGGTATTCTAATCAATCTGAAAAAAAAAGAGTTAAATATAATTTGATAGGTAAATATATGAATAATGGAATAAAAGAAAAATAAAGAATAAATAAATATGTAAACATACAAAAGAATAAATAAATTGTGGAAACTATCTATTCCCAACCCTGATATAATGGAAGTATTGTATATTTCCTTATTGTAGCCATTAAAACGAATTATTTTCTGATAAACCGATTGGATCCTGTACTGTCGTTTTCCTTACCCTTACACGATAGAATTTTCAAAATGAGGAAGAAATCGTATGAGTGAAAGAAAAGAAAGATCGATGGAAAATCTTTCATGTATATACGTATTTTAAAAATATGTTTGACTGACTTCGACTATTTTAATTATTTGGAAGGCGAAAAGGGTAAGTAGACATGCAGATAGATCAACAAAAAGAAAATATAACGGTCATACAGGTGAGCAGGTAGATATAGATACAAATAGTAATAATGTCTAAACACACTCTCGACTGCTAAAACTCCAGCTATTAAGTCTTTTTTTCGACCTCATAGTATATTCTATATGTTTGGTTCATTTAACGTTACATGATAAATTTAAAAAGTTATCACCTTGCTTTTATATATTGCTTCCCTCCTCTCCTCCTCAGCGCCATCTGTTGAACGAACGCCGCCCTAAATCGTCCCTCACTCTCCTTTCCTTATTTTTAAATTTTCCAAAACGTAAACAAACAGTGCAGGGACGAGGACGGACAGACGATGTAGAGGCTGCAATTTTTTTGGTTTATTGGACATTTTGGACATAAATGGCACGGATGGAAAGAGGAGGAAACAGGGAATATAGGTAATGAAGATCTAGAATTTTAAGGAAAAAGAAGAGAGAAGGAGAATGGGTGTATTATTATTGATTCAGCGGTTTGAAAATGTATTTTGTATAAGAGTATTATTTGGAATCATGGAATCGGAATATTATCAGAAATTGTCTTATTATATTTTGTTCGATAATTGTTAGAATATTGCTAGATAGGAATACCATAGTCATAAATTAGATAAGTGAATAAAGATAGAATAAATAAATGGGTGTAAATCTGAAAGAAATAAGGATAAGGCAATTTAATCTCCAATTTAAGTCAGTTATTATATGCTTCTGACTTTTATTGAAATTGGGCTTTGGTTGGCAAAGAACCTTATTTCAGGTTTGTCCAGGCAAGATGAAACTTTTTTTAACTTGGATATTTATTATCATAGAAGGGGTCCAAGCCACAATTTGTCGAATATAGGCCTGTGTAGGGTGGAGCACAGAGGCCAATCATATCATTGCTTCATGCTTTCTTTATCTAAATAAGTATTAATTTCACATCCTTTATTACTTAGTGTATTACTGTTTTTGGTGCATATTTTTTAAGGCACATCATCCACTGGCTTTGTGCCATTTGGGTGGCCTGCAGCTGTACTCCAGCAAAGACCAACAACCCTTGATCTTGTACATTATAGCAAGACAGAATTAATAGACCTCCATTGAATTATCATGACACAAGGAAGTATTTTGGCAGAATAAATATGCAAAGAGGCCTTGACAAACCATTATTGAGTCATCACAAATCACAGCAAGTTTCCAGTTCCTCTTTATAGACCACAGTAATATAGGTACGAGAAAAGAGTTGGGTTAAAGTTTACGAAAAAAAAAAATTAATTACATGACAAACAAAAAAAAATAATGAGCTCGATACTCACATGTATAAACCACCCCAAAAATCACCGTACAAAACCAAAAAACCTTCCTTTCCCCTTACCAATCATGTTATTTCCTTAGCCTCGACAACCCTCCAATCACAGTTTCCCCTTGGCAGTGCAAGTTTTTTAAATATTTTAACCCAAAGTTGTTTCATAGCTAGTGGCAGTCTGTAGGGTCATTATAACTTAAATATATATTTTTTCTTGTTTATGAAGCACCTCAATAATCATGAGTATAGATGTAGTAGTGAGAAGACTATTTAAAATTACTATCCGTTTTTTTATTATTAGATTATTAAGTATAATTTTATACTTGAATACAATATAGATAGCACTGAATTATTAGAAGACTGCACAGGACAAAACTTTACAAGTCATTGCATCACATTGCAATGAAATAGGAGACTGCAGCTAAGAAATCACGCAAACTCAAGACACAAACTATTTAAATCAAGTAAAAACAAAATGGAAGTATTGGCAAGGATACCAAAAAAGAATATTAATCACATAACACTAAGACTTCAAACAGAAAATCAGATGATAAGCTAACAAGACTTAAATTGCACCTACTCATATTGAAAATGGAACCTGATCCGCCATGCATGTAATGTTCTTCTGCCCAAAATTTAACTCCTACAGAACCAAAATAACAAAAGCATTAAGTAGAATAAAAATCCATAATTTTACCATGGTTTTATTACTTACAGGGAGAAATCATCCACCAGCTAAGAGGTACTACTTGCAGAGACATGTGAAGATATTCCTGCAAAAACAAACCATTACTGATGTCATGTGAAAACCTCAAATAAAAAAAAAGAAGTTACTAGAAATACAGACCAAAAGTTTAAAATCCGTTAAGAGAAGGTATGAAGAAATGTTGAGTACATACATGTTTAAGTAACTCATACACACACACACCACACTCACACACACACACACACACACACACACACACACACACACAACACACACCACTTCTCTCTCTCTCTCTCTCTCTCTCTCTCTCTCTCTCTCTCTCTCTCTCTCTCTCTCTCTCTCTCTCTCTCTCTCTCTCTCTCTCTCTCTCTCTCTCTCTCTCTTTTGCAATTGTTGTACAGATTTTTCTTTCCCAATTTTTTATTCTGTACTTGACCATTTTTGTTATTCATGTTTAAGAGGTTTGTTATGCTCTGTATTCTTATCCCCAGGGGTTGTCATTCACTTGCTATTAATTACTTTTTTAATTGCCAAGGATTCTTACTAACAGTTCTGGTAACCTGTTGTTTCTTATAAGTGTAATAATTGGATAATTTTTGTATCTTTAATTTTTGGAAAGTTGGCTAGAGTATGGTGAAGAAAACTACTTTATTAGTGAGAGAAGGAATTCACTTTTTTGTCCATACCAGAAATGACCAAATTTTTATGATAGAATTATTAGCCTATCCTGATATCCCATTCTTCAGCTTTTCATCTGTCATTTTTTTAGAATTAATTTAAAGAAAATAAAATCATCATTAGGTCTCTGCCAAAGAAAATAACTATGCTTCTTCTTTTGTAAACTTGTGGGTAATGGAATAGCAAGGAAATAGAAAATTATCAACAGGCTGCATTAGATTTTTTTCTTCTTTTCTTTTCTTTCTTTCCTTTTTCTTTTCTTTTTAGTATCACATGGAAGAAGATAAGGGGAATAGATTTTGTTTTTATTATTATTTTATATAAATCTTTTGAATATTTTTACTATGTGTTTTCCATGTTTTTGTGAGAATGATAATAAAAATGATAAAAATTATTATTATTGCGATTATTGTTATTGTTATTATTATTATTATTATTATTATTTATTGTTATTGTTATTATTATTATTATTATTATTGTTAGTATTAGTATTCGTGTTAGTGTTAGTGTTGAAGTATATTGACTCTTCAGATCAATTTCTTAATGAGAGTTGTCAGTATGTGATATCCAACTCTATTTGTAGGGAAATCTAATCCTTTATTAGTAATGTCCAATTATTCTGTACCTTTACTTGTATTTTATAAATCTATAACTTTCATTTTCTTTATTTCAGATGCGGCTAAGTAAGCTGTTGACATCGTTGAAGTTTAAAGCTCATGAGCTTAAAAGTGAAAATCAAGGTTACAAATCTAAAATCAATAGAGATGTTTATGTTACTTAAAACAGTTAATTAACCTGAGATTAAAAGGAATGTAAGTATCTAGCTTTCCAGTAACAAGTAGGTAATGTGAGTTTAATTTATTTTCCTCAAGTCACATGTAGGTAATATGAATGTATATTTTAGATATAGGACCAAATTATTGTACCCTATTTAACCAAAATGGAAAATGTTGGTAATAAAAATCAGCAGAGTGGTGTTGATAAGGAGACTGAGGAAGGGGAAGATATGATAAAGTGTGAAAAGTGCTGTTCCCTTAATAATGGGTGTTGTATAAAGTGTTCTGCAGAGTCGGCATCCGTCGGCAGGAGAGATGATCACATGTACTACACAACTCTTGAATCGAAAGATATAGAGAAGAGGTACACATGTGAAGAGTGCGGCTCCACTTTTAAAAGGTGGAGTTTGTTGCAGGCTCACAAGAGGAAGCACAGTGATAGTCCACCCTTTTCTTGCTGTGATTGTGGAAAACAGTTAGAGAGCAAGGATGAGTGGGTAGATCACAGGGAGGTAGGATGCAGTTCAGCCAATGTCCACTCATTCCCACGCACCAACCACAATGTTTTGCTCAATGGAAAAAGACAAGGATCACGCAGGGGAAAGAGTTTCAAGTGTGCCCTTTGCACCAAATCTTTCAAGTCTTTGGGTTCGAAGAATGATCATGAACGTAATGTACATAATCCTGTGCGGTGTTACAGCTGCAATGAGTGTGGAAAATCATTCTATAAAAAGTATAACCTCAATATTCATAAGGAAACACATAGTGACGATCGATCTCATGTGTGCAAAATGTGTGGCAAGAAATTCAAGACTACTCAGGGGTTAAGAATGCACATGGAAAGTCACTCTAACGAAAGGCCTTTCATGTGCGAAATCTGTGGTAAAATTTTCAAGACTCGGGCTGTCCTGGAAAGCCATACAGCAATCCACACTGGTGAGACTAAATATAGCTGCAGTGTCTGTGGGAAAGCCTATCGCTACCGTGCTTCATTATTCATTCATATGCGCACTCATTCAGGATACAGACCATACAGTTGCACTGAGTGTGATGCATCTTTCATGGTGAAGAGTCATCTTACAGAACACATGAGGAGCCACACTGGAGAACATCCTTTTGTGTGTAAATTTTGTTCTGCATCTTTTACGAGGGCTATTAGCCTGAAGAAACACCTGAAATCACACGTAAAGGCAGGTTGCAATGTGAATATAGATGCTGCAATGTATCATGCAAAAGTGCAAGCGTTCGTAAAGCCACGGAAGCCATACACATCCCTCACTGAACCAAATACCACTTCTGCAATACCTAAGCTAACTCACATCATGCAAGATAATGTATTATTGAATGCTAAAGAGAGAATTGAGCTTTTTGTGGACCAGCCATCAAATGAGAAAGAACTTACTGTCATTAAAGTTTCATGTTTAGACGAGACAGGATTATGTGCCTTTGATATTGTACAGACTTCTTCAGATTATGACCTGTTATGTAAATCAGGTACTAGTGATTTAATTGATCATCAGACCAGTCACAGCACAAAAGAGAAAAAACTGTGTATGGAAAAGATTCAAGTCATTTCTAGTTCCGTGAATGGCAGAATGGATAAGGATGTCAGAACAGTAACATCCCCAGCTACAGGGAATGCCCAGAATACTGTCAATGGGGAAAAAATTGAAGAGTCTGGCCTTCCTTCTTGCTTGACACAAGAGGGTAGCATCCATATTAAAAAGGAAGAGGAAGAGATAGCCAAAGATTGGTTAGATTCTCAGGAAGTTATTGCGGATGCAGTACTGGAATTGAGTGTCAACAACAATGATAGAGAAAGTAGTGTTCATTATAACCTATCAGAGACAGACCATCAGAAAGTCATTGTGACAGAAGTGATTGCCAGTGAAAACTCAAAAATTTCAACCCAGTTAGAACAGTCCAATAATTACAATGAAAGGAAAGAGGCTGCTGTAAAAAGTGCTGTTGTTAGGAAATCAGGCCCCATAGATGTAACATTTGAGAGTTTGGAACTTAAAGAAGTATTATTACAAAAATGCTCTTACTGTGACAAAGTTTACGTGTGTAAAGAGTTTGGGGAGGGTAATGAAGTCTGTCAGGATTGTAAATCTTTACAACATTTAAAGGCAGTAGAGAATAGCAAATCTTCAGCCCATTTACAAAGTCATGATATTCCAGACGATCGAACACCTTTTAGAAATAAATTAGTAAGCAGGGATAGTGATCCATATCATTGTGACATATGTTGGGCTTCATTCACCTTTAGAAGTGACCTGAGGAAGCATGTAAAGCAGCATTCAAGTAGATACCCACATATATGCAAAAAGTGTGGTGAGTCATTCCAACAGGAAATATTCTTATCAAAACATCACTGTGGTATACCTATTATAGATGCTGATGTAATTTCAAATAGATGTGTGTCAAAGACCATAGACAGGTCTTTGGAGTATGAGTGTAATAAATGCAAAAAAATATTTCCAAAGAAATTCATTTTAAAGGTACATTATAGAAAACATACTGGTGTAAAACCTTTCAAGTGTAAAATGTGTCCAAAGAGATTCATTTCAGCGACCCATCGCAAGGTACATATGAGATGCCACACAGGGGAACTGCCATATGAATGCAGAGATTGTGGTAAATACTTTCGAAAGAAGTCAGACCTCGCAGGCCACCATAAAACCTGTGAGAACCAAGAAAATCAGAGAATGAACTGTAACCTCCAAGGGTTTGGGATATCCATTAAAGAAGAACCCATTGAAGAGGACGTAGAAGAGATGTTAGAGGGAAATAGAAATAAAGGGACTTTAATAGAAGGAATAAAAATTGAGGATCCAAGTGATGAATCTAGCCTCAAGCAAGAATTAGTGGAAGAGGAGGAAATCATTCAATCTTCACATTCTAGGTCATTGAAATGTAGGTATTGTGGCCGTACCTTCAAGTTCCATAGTGTACTCCAAGCTCATGAACGAAGTCATACAGGTGAGAAACCATTTTCATGTTCGGTGTGCAATAAAGCCTTTTCCAAGAAGAGTAACATGGAAGTCCACATGAGAATTCATACTGGTGAGCGCCCATTTCTTTGTGATTATTGCGGTAAATACTTTGCATATAAGTACAGCCTGGAAGCCCATAAGCGCTTACACACCAAAGAAAGACCCTTTACCTGCAGCGTTTGCGGGAAAAGTTTCCGACATGAAGCAAGTAGACATGTACATATGAAGAGACACTTTGGAGATAGGGCATTCAAGTGCGACCTCTGCCCCAAGGCATTTGTGGCAAAGGTTGATCTGGAAGGTCATCGAAGAACTCACACTGGAGAGAAGCCTTTTCAGTGTGAGCTGTGTAATCGTTCTTTTAAATTCAGACACCATTTGACAGAGCACCTTAGGTACCATACTGGTGAGAAGCCATACAAATGCTATTATTGTGACATGACGTTTGCTCGTGCAGGAACTCGAAAGACACACATGAAAAAGCATGCAAGTATCATAAAGTGAGTGGGAGGACACTGAAGGTCTAATTCAACAACACAGTAAGGGCTTCCTGCTAAAAGATGAAAGATATGCCAAAAATTTTACTCTGTGATAATTTTGCTGATGAATTAAGGATAAGCCTCTGTAGTGAATGGCTGATGGTTTGCCTGTGAAAGGTGAATTAGGAATTTGATATATCTTTTTATTTTTGATAAAGTTATGTTATGATTATGTATATTCAAAGATAACCCTGAAAACAGAGATTGCGAGGAACTGTAATAAATTATTGTTTTCTGAATATCTTTTTTCTTTCATATTCCTTGTATCTGATTTGATATTAGACAAAAAAATCTGTAATTTTTTTGGCTTTTTAATTTTATACAGTAAGGAAATTGGAATGTCAAAATCTCAAGCTGGAAACTCCTGTTGCTCTCTTAAGACATACCAAAGCTCAAAGTTTGACACATTTTCTGTTTATAAAAAATCCAGTTATATATATGACAGAGAAAATAACTCATATAAGATTTGGTAAATATGTGTGTCTATACTTGTCAGAAGTCTGTGTTTTAGTCTTATTCCATTTCTTCTTGGTATTGGTAAATGTATCAAAATTTTTAAATTGGTATTTGTTTATATTTATATCTATCTCTCTGTCTATCAATCTATCTATCTATCTATCTATCTATCTATATCTGTTATAGATATATCTATATATTATATTTATATACATATTAATATATATATGTATGTATGTAGGTATATATAATACAAATTACATGATGTGTGTCAATAAATATATAAATATAATATAGTATACCTAGGGCATAGCAGTACAATATACCTACTATCCATTACTCACTATCCTTATTATAAACCTATGACTAGGTGTAGTGTGTGTGTGTGCTGCTTACAATAAATATATGCTCTCAAACTCCATAGTTAATCTTAGTCATACGAATATCTCTTCTCTCCTTCCTCCTCACTCCTGGTTTCGCATCATGGCTTCCGCAGATCCACCCAGGTTTTGTCTGGGAAAAAGAGATACCATCACACATCAACTACAACACATCCAATCACACACAAAATAAACATAACTCAACAATATTATTAACACACACACTACACACACACATATTTATATATATATTATATTATAATATATATTTATATATTATATATATATATATTAATACATATATATAATAATTATATATATATATATATATATATATTATATAGTTAAATATATTATAGTCATACACACATGCTATAGTTAATGTTTATATATATATATATATATACATTAAACTATTATAATCATTACATAAAATATATATATTGATATTATATATAATATTTATAGTTATTATATATATATATATATATATATATATTATATATTAATATATATTACATTAGATATATTATATAGTATATAGATTAGATTAAGATATAGTAATAGATAGATTATAGTACTAGAAGTGAGATAGATTTAATTAATAAAAATATAACACAATAACTATAAATATATGCGATAATATGTTGTTGTGAATGTGATGAATTTTTGATACCATTACTGCGTGGAAATACCTGATAGTGGTTTAAGAAATGGAATAAGACTAAAACACAGACTTCTGACAAGTATAGACGAGCGACAGATTTATCTCTCAATCTTGTATATGAGTTTTCTCGCGTCTGTCTGGATTGATATATAACTGGATTTTTTTTATAAACAGATAATCGGGTGTCAGAAACTTTGAGCTTTGGTATGTTTTAGTGAGAGCAACAGGAGTTTCCGGAGCTTGAGCATTTTGACATTCCAATTTTCCTGTTATTGTTATAAAGATGAAAAAGCCAAGATTAATTACAGATTTTTTGCTCTAATATTAAATTCAGATACAAGGAAATATGTAAGAAAAAAGATATTCAGAAAACAATATTATATTACAGTGGTTTCTGCGCTAGATCTCTCTGTGGCAGTGGTTATGCTGTTGGAAGTATGACAGTGGAGTCATTGATGCACGATTGAGATACGTTTATGCGAAATAGTATAAGATGTGAGTTTGTGTGACGTGCGTGACGTCCAGCTAATGTCCGTAGGTGAGCTTCTCAGTCAGACGGTACCCGGCCGAGTGCAGCCATTCACTACAGAGGTATATCCTTAATTATTCTCAGCAAAATATCATACAGATGGAGAATGTACTCTCGCATTTATATCATCTGCGTTAAGCGGATATCCTATACAGATGTATGAATTTGAGCAGCTCCTCTCCATCGTTCCTCTCGCACTCACATCTTCATCGATGAATTGCAGTCGATGCTATAAAGTTCATGTGTGCTGTTGTGTCTATCGAGTTCCTGCTTAAGACGTCACAAAACTTCATGCACTCAACTCAAATAGAATTCGTGTGAAATGCAGACTGCTCTCCCTCGACGTACTGATGAACTGAAGATGCTCTGCTATATATCGCGCTGCTCTCGAATATTGATAAGAAACGATTACTAACAGCTACATCTGAAAGGCTTTCTCTCCAGTGTGGGTTTTCGATGACCTTCCAGATCAACCTTTGCCATTACATAATATATCGCTAAATGATCCTGGCTGATGGGATACGCCTGACCACTCGCGTCTCTTCTACACAAGTGGTATCATGATTTTACATAGTACCAACGCTATATACTTGGCTATCTCTCACAAGAGAAGAATAATCCTCTTTCTCCAACTGATAGCTCGCAGAGTAAATAGAGAGTCATTTCGGTGTGTAAGCGTCTCATCGCGGCTTCCAGGAGAACTCGTACTTGATATGCACAGTAGATGTTAGATCCGCAAATATATCAGCAAGAATATGTGCTGCTCTACCCCAGTATGAGATTTCTCTCACTGAAAAGATGGACATTGCAGATGCTCATATCTAATCTGGAGAAACCGGCTAGTGCACGATCACGAATCGACTCGAACAGGCATGGTTTCTCGATCCCTGTATGACTTCGTTCATGAGCTCGCGGCAGTACATCTGATGAATCTGAAAGGATATTGTGCCAACATAAATCCGTCACTCTCAATATGATGTCAGGCACCAAGAGCATATAGAAGATATGTCAATGATATTCTCACGTCTTCGCACTCCACCACTTCTTGCGTGAGGCTAGACTCATATCACATGTGGTACTACATCAATATTTATACTTCCTTATTAAGTCCCTTTACCTATCTATCCATAAGCAATTCTCTTCTAGCGTCCTCTCCCAATGGTGTTCTTTCTATTTAATGGATATCCCAAACATCTTCGGAGTGGTTCACACGCCTTTCAGGTGTCTCTCATAGTTTACTTGCGTTGTCCAACAGCACAGCGCTGCTTTATTGAATAGAGGCCTGACTCAGCATAGCTGTCTGATTCTTACCTTATATCGTATAGCTAATAATCATTTACCGCTCCTCTCTCTATTTAATACTGTTGTACATTCTAAACTATGCAAGTTATTATCTCTGTATGTCTAAGAGTTATTATCGATCCAATCCATTATTATCATTATCTCATATTGTATATTCTCATGATTTAGTATGTCGATTATTTATTAGATGAGTCCGGTCTCCTGTATATTTATTGACATCTCTATTGGAATCAATTAATTAAATCTACTAACTATATGTATAATTATTATATTATGTTATTATTAGTTATTGGTCCTATCTATATATTATACATACTTTATTTCTTAATGGTATAATTGTTTATTATTTCATATATATATGTACCATTTTAATAATATATTAGTTATATATTCTATCTTTGGATATTAAATCTATTTTATGCGAATTATTATACTATCACTATCATATACTTCAAAAAGACTCTTAAGTCACCTTTATAGTCTTTATCGACACACATCTATTTGAAATTACGATCAGGCATCTATAATAGGTATATTTTAATTTCCATCATATCATTAGTTTAGTTATTTATGTATCTTATCATTCACTGTCATTATCCAACTGACAGATATCTATTAATTTCGGCTGCTTGGTATTCAAATGACATCACCAATTCTAAATCTTTCCTTAGGCGAGGTCTCAATTATTAGTGTGTTGGTTATCTCTCACTTTGATAATGTCTATGTTTCTTTTACCTATATCGCTTCTACTCATACCAAGTATGATCCTACACAAATCTAAAGAGATAGACTAGAAAGCATCCGAATATTATCACTATGATATCAGTACATCACTACTTATCTCAACATGCTATAACTCTATATATATATATTTATCTTAAATATAGGATTGGTAACGATATCAAGTAATATCTATATATACATGATAAATTTGGCTGAGATTTGCTAATCCTCTAGCCTATGTTGATAAGATTTACATTATCTGGATCAGAGCTTCATTTACCCTCCATCCAAACTCTTATAAACATACTACGTATATCTCAGTCACTATGTAAGAGCACAATTTGTAATTAATATATCTTCTTATAGTCCAAAACTACTCTAAATGTTACATCCATTATGGGGCTAAATCTATGTAAATATTACTAACCAACCTCGCACTTTACAGCAGCCTCTCTTTTCTCTCTTTACTATAATTTGTAAATTTATTGGAACTGTATTCTAACTAGGGAAATATTTTGAGATATTCACTGGCCAATCATTCCTGAACTCACAATGGACTTAACTGAATTGCGTTCTGTCTCTGAATAGGTTTATAATGAACTACGATACTATTTCCTATCACATTGTTGTTGACACTCAATTCCAATTACTTAGCATCTGTACATAACTTCCTGAGTAATCTAATACAATCTTTGGCTATCATCCTATTCTCTTACCTTATTCCTAATCTTTATGTGATGCACCTCTGTGCAAGCATAGAAGAAACCAGACTCTTCAAAATTTCTTTACCCCTACAGTTTAATTCTCCGGAATTATCCCTAAGTATGCTGGGATAGTCTACTGTTCTGCCATTACGGAATTAGAATAATGACTTGAATCTTAATCAATACACAAGTTGTTTCTCTTTTTGTGCTGTGACCCTACGGTCTGTATGACAATAAATAATCACTGTACCTGATTTTACATAACAGGTGCATATCTGAAGAAGTCTGTACAATATCAAAAGGCACAATAAATCCTGTCTCGTCTAAACATGAAAACTTTTAATGACAGTAAAGATATCTTTCTCATTTGAGGGCTGGTCCACAAAAAGCCTCAAATTCTCTCTTAGCATTCAATAATACTATCTTGCATGATGTGAAGTTAGCTTAGGTATTGCAGAAAAAGAATGGTATTATAGAG